CCACAGTGAGGAACCCGGCGCGAGTGGGGACTGCTTTAATCCCTGCTCACACTGAGTTTCGCCTCTGCATCTCTGCTTCCCTGCTGTTCCCCTCCCCCCAGCACTCTCTCTGTGGTATGGGGGAAGAGGCTTTTAAGCTGGCTCCCTGCAGCACTGGCTCCTGCTTCACTCCCACCTTCCCCCACTGCCTCTGATACAGGGACAGCAAGCATGGAGGATACAAACAGTCCAGTCAACTACAAGTGTTCTAAACTCCTATTTAAATTAGCTGGAATTAAGCAAACTTGCAATCCGTCCCCATATTAGTGTCTCAGTGTTCTAAACTCCTATTTAAATTAGCTGGAATTAAGCAAGCTTGCAATCCTTCCCCATATTAGTGTCATAAGAATGGCTATACTAGGTTAGACCAGTGGTCCACCTAGCCCAGTATCCTGTCTTCTGAAAGTGGCCACTGCCACATGGCATATTGCCATAGAGGGAATGAACAGAAAAGGGCAGTGATCAAGTTTTCCAGTCCCAACTTCTGGTGGTCAGTGGTGTAAGGACTCCCTAAGCATGGGGTTGGCTCCCTGACCATCTTGGCAAATAGCTACTGAAGAACCTATTTTCCATTAACTTAATCCAGTTCTTTTCTCAACTCAAGTTATACTTGTGGCCTTCGCAATATCTTCTGTCAAAGAGTTTTACAGGGTAACAATGCATTGTGTAAGGAAACACTTTCTTATCTTGCTTTAAACCTGTTGCCTACTAATTTCATAACACATGGTTCTTGTGTTATGTGAGGGGGTAAAATAAACTTCCCTATCCCCTTCAGTCAGGTGCCTATGATCCAATGGGAGTTAGGACCCTAAATACCTTTGAGGATCTGAGACTAAACTCAGCTCTTTTCCTCTGCATTTCACTCCTGACTACTTTTGGCAACTTCCTTGTTCTGAGAATCCCTTTCTTAGGTGCTAACCAGCAGGGGCGGCCCGTGACTATAGGCCAACTTGGCCGTCGCCTAGGATGCCGCCTTCAAAGGGGCGCCCGGGGCACCTGATGATGACGTCACTCCATTGATGGCCGTGCAGGCAGGGGTGCCGATCGCACGTTCCGCCTGGGGCGCCAGCTGTCGCAGCCCGCCTCGGGCCGTTTCTGAGCACATCACAGCAGTCGCAAAAGGGCTGCTAGGGAACGATCAGCAATGGATACGAAATAGATCTGAGAGCTCAGCCTCGTGGTAGCAGGTAGAGTTATTGGAAAGGACCATGGTTCTGTAACCAGAGGTGGAAAAGCTCCAGGCTTTCTGTTCCTCCTTGGAACTTTTCCAGACAGTGCGTGGTCCTGTCGTGAGGGCAGGGGGCTGGACTCGATGACTTCTCGAGGTCCCTTCCCGTTCCAGTGTTCTATGATTCTTTGTTGTCCATGGACTAGAGACCCTTAGCTGCTGTAAAGCAGGGAAACTCCATTGATTTAAACGGAGCAGTGCTGCTAACTTGTCACATTTCTTTGTATGTGGCCTTTTGGCGCACTGTCTTGGAGGGCGCTTTCTCACGCTATGTTAACTGCCGACTGCCTTAGCAGTGCCAGGCACATCTGGCCATGACAGGTGCCCGGACAAGGTAGTTCCCCCAGTATTAAAGGTGGCTTTCAAAACCTGCGCCTGCCATTCCTGCCTGCAGTCAAGCATGTGATGGTTTCGCTTTCAGGCACTTCTGAAAGCAATAACCCCCATGAGGATAGATGAGGCCCAGCAAGAAGGGTTTTCCCCAAGGCTAGCTGGAGGTTTACATCATAGAGATCATTTGCTTATACTGTTTAAACTCAACTCAATCCAGGAGTTTGGGGGGAACCCAATAGCTCAAGCCCTGCACAGGTACAAAATTTGTATCTGCATCCATATCAGCAAACATGAGCTGGGGAAATCCACATCCACACCCGCTGCTAGAACATGGATATCTGCAAAGGTTCTAGGTAAGAAATTTACAAATGCACATCTGAGCCACAAATATAAAGCAGTGAGCTGCCGATTTCCAGGGCTCTACGAATAGCCGGGACAGAATCCCTGATGTAGCCTCCAGAATCTCGCTGGTGGCCAGTGCCATGGTTTCAGTTCTGCCACTCTCAATGGGAAGGGTATGTTGGCTGGTCGGGATTCCTTGCAAGGGTCAGAGGGACCAGCTGAAAAGCAGCCGAAGAAAAGCCAGGACATTAAATACGGCACACAGCAGAGTATCACGTTTCCAGTGCAGTGGGACTAATTGCTTTAAGCTAAGGATATTAAGAAGCGGGTAACTGACTAATTGTGCAGTTATTACAAATTGTATCGACTACACGATTAGTCGATAAGGGGCCCCACTGCGGCTCTGACGTTTAAATGTAGTAGGAGCCAGGCGCGCAGGGAAACCGGCTCCTACTACATTTAAGCTGCAAAGCTACAGCGGGAGTAGGTCTGCGACGTGGCGCGAGCCAGGACTGAGAACTCCCAGTTTGTAACAGGTCCAAGATCGCTGTGCCTCTGCCTCTCCTGCCCCTCCCTACCCCAGCCCATCTGCGGGGAACCGGCTTTTAAGCTGGCTCCCTGCAGCACTGGCTCCTGCTTCACTCCCACCTTCCCCCACTGCCTCTGATACAGGGACAGCAAGCATGGAGGATACAAACAGTCCAGTCAACTACAGATAAGCCTAGGCTCATTGGGTAGTCGACTGTTCGACTATTCTTTTATATTCCTGATTCTATCATTTACTTCCAGACTAAAAGGGGCAGAGAGTGCTGAAAATGCATCTTGTTCAGTTGCTTTCTAGCAACCCTTCTAACCATTGTATGGGTGTCCTTGTCAGGTTTCTACAGTCTCAACTTCAAGCCCTCATAACTAAGGCCACTATTACCCAGTTTGCTCCATTCCAATGTGAGTGGACTCTGGTATAAAATCCCATTTTAATCAATGGACACCTGCTGCTGCTGGTCTTTTCCATAACTCTCATTGTGGAGAGACCTAATGTGTAAGGGAGTAAAGAGTATCGTTAAGGAAAGTTCACAGAAAAAAGTGATTCTGATCCTTAAGAGGAAAACATACATATACTTGGGTAAGGAAGGGGAAGACCAGTTGTTTAAAAGATATGGTTTTTTATTGTGTTACAAGGGAAGTCCAGGATATTAATTATTCCTAAAAGTTAACATAATCTCATAATTAAGATAATAGGGGGTAAAATAAACTTCCCTATCCCCTTTTTTTCCATACCAGTAATGATTTTATATAAACATTTATCATTTCCCCCATTAGCTGTCTTTTTTTTTTAAGCTGAACAGTACCAGTTCATTGATTCTCTCCATGCTAGGGGAGTCACCAGTTTAGTCCTCCTCTGCTCCCCCTGTTATCCCTTGGCTTGCCTGCTCCTCTGCCTGCTGGTGCCTTCTCTCTCCTCCCAGCCCAACCCTCCTCCATCTCCACTGGCAGGGGACGCGGGGTGGGGCCGGGTGGGGGGGGGGGCAGGAGAGGGCAGTGGCAGCACAAATTTTTCTTTTGCCCCTGGGTGCATAACACCCTGGCTAAGTCTTTGTAGATTAGTCTGCAAAAGTCCGGTGCATTATTTAATTGTATTCTTTTTTTTTCTCTCGTCCCCCTCCCCTCCAAACACAGGGAATTGAAACCCGGCGAAGAAGTTACCTGGAGATAAAGACCATCTATGAAATGCTTTTGCCTAATCAAATTTGATTGTATAACATATGGATGATGTCTTTGTTACTATGTCATCCGTGGAACAAGAACCATGGCTTTACACTTGATGTACTTCGTTGCTAGTCTTTAAAAAGTGTAAAGCCACTGGAAAGAATAAATACAGTGTGGTTTAAAGCATACACAATAAACAGAAAACTATGTAAAACGCATTCATGTGTTAAAACAAATGAACATAATCCCCACCCCAAAGTTCAATCTTTACTTTGAGACTTTGTGGTGAATGTAAGTTTCACAATCTGAAAGCACATTTTAGTCGTTATAGATCTAAAAGGTAGATTTGTTATAAAAAATTAAACAAAAAATTGATAGAAATGTTTGTGACCCTTTTAAAAAAAATAAAGCAATATCCTCTTTGAACTTAAATATTTTCCTGAAATGCTTGCAGTTCAAACAAAGAAGCCTGATGTGCATGAGAACTAGAAGGTGATAATAATGAAATTGATTAATTGCTTTGTATTTTAATTAGGGATGTGAAAGTGTGACACTGTACACTGTTAACTGATAAGCACGTGTTTCTTAAATGCATTTTAACATCCCTAATTTTAATTAATGTGCAAGAGGAAAAGGCATTAACAATGAACTGTAAATTAACAGTAGTTTAAAAAAAAAAACTTTGTTATAACAAAATGTGTTTGCTCTACATCATTATAAAATAGAGACCTGTTGGTTGTTCTCATATAGGTGTTGCGAGCAGTTCAGAGGGTGCAGCGATGGCCTGAGTGGGAGTGTTTTCTTCTTGTGACATATTGCAAACTCTGGGTGTGGCTAGATGTCAGCCATGCACCCAGCAGAAAGTGGAGCAGCCTTTGGAACTGCTGTATTTTTTTATGGAAACTTCTAGAAGCTGTTAGAACTATGCCACAACCCATTATTTGTACCAAGGTCTATGACAGGGATAGGAATGTAGAGGCAGTATGTTAGATGGTAAACAGCTGGGCTATGTCTACACTCGCGGCTTCTTGCGCAAGTATGGCTGTTCTTGAGCAAGAATCTGCAGAGCGTCCACGCTGCCCACCGGCTCTTGCGCAAGATGATTTACCATACAGCATGGTAAGAGAGGGCTTCTTGCACAAGAGCTATGCTCTTTTCTAACAGGTGTAAGCCCTCTTGCGCAAGAGGGCAGTGTGGATGCTCGGCAGGGATTTCTTGCACAAGAAAGCCCTATGGCTAAAATGGCCATGAAAGCTTTCTTGCTCGAGAGAGCTTCCACACTGCCATGGATGCTCTTGCACAAAAGCACCGCTCACACATGGCAGTGTGGACGTTTTCTTGCGCAAGACTTCTTGCAGAAGAACCCTTGCGCGTGATGTTCTTGTGCAAGAAGCCGCCCGTGTAGACATAGCTCCGGAGCTGAGAAGTAGAGAACTATTGGTTATTTTTACAGTGCCTAGTCCAATAAGATCTTGAACTGTGATGGGGCTTCCCAGGTGCTAAAGCAATACAAATAATTAATAATCCTCTGGTGTTCCAGGAATTCCCTGTGTTCGGGATATTTTTGGCTGTGAGGGAAGAGTTCAGCTGCTTTCCAGACATCTATAATAATAATAGTGTAATAGTACTTAAAACAGTCTTGAAAATTCAGTCATGGAGTTGGATTTTTCTCACATGGGTTGTCAGCTTGCAGAACAGGAAAGCAGCTTTCCATAAATCTGTATATTAGTTCAATGTCTCCAATATTGACAGTTATAAAAAGTCTATGGTTTTTCCAACTGCTGCTGTTCTACCATTTTCAATGTTTCAGTAAGTGTTAGCCTCGTTAATTTACACCACAATCCCTGAGAGAGTGAATTTAGAATAATACTGTAGAGCAGTGGTCTCCAACATTTTTAAGCACAAGATCACTTTTTGAATTTAAGTGTAGTCCAAGATCTACCTCAAATATAAATACCCTTGTCCTGCCTCACTCCCATCCAAGATCTACCTCAAATATAAATACCCTTGTCCTGCTTCACTCCCATCCCTTCTCCGAGGCCCCACCCTTGCTCACTCCATCCTCCCTCTCTTGCCCATCTTCACTTTCATCAGGCTGGGGAAGAGGGTTGGGGTGCAGGCTTTGGACTTGGATTAAGGGATCTGGAATGTGAGAGAGGCTCTGAGCTGCTCTTGGGACAGGTAGTTGGAATGTAGGAGGGGGTTCTAAGTGCAGTCATCAGGCTGGGGAAGAGGGTTGGGGTGCAGGCTTTGGACTTGGATTAAGGGATCTGGAATGTGAGAGAGGCTCTGAGCTGCTCTTGGGACAGGTAGTTGGGATGTAGGAGGGGGTTCTAAGCGCAGTCGCTGGGACAGCATTGGGGGTGCTTGGGTCGTGGTGTGCAGGATGGGATCCATGACTGGGGTAGGAATTCAGGCTGTGGGCTCCAGCTGGGCCCTGCCTACCTCAGGTGGCTCCTGGGTAGTGCTGCAGTGAGGCTAAGGCAGACTCAACCCTTCCCTGGCCCTGCATCACTCCCTAAAGCAGCCAGGAAACTCCCTCCCAAGTCCTGTTGTGCCCCCTCTGTGTTTTCCAGAGAAAGGATACAGAGTGGGAGAGGGGGCATTTTGACATCAGCACCCTTCTCTCCCTCCCCTGCCTTGCATAGAAAGGAGGGCTCCCCAGGGGAAGGGGCAGCTCTAAGGCAAAGGGGAGCATGGGACTAGCAGTTGGGGGAAGAGGCAGCTGAAATGCTAGCACTTGATAGCCTCTTGGCCAAACCAGTCAGGATCACCTGCCAGAGGCTCCAAGATCTAGCAGTAGATCCTGATCTACTGGTTGGTGACCACTGCTGTAGATAGTGCTGGAGGGGGAAGTCAGCATGCAGTGGAGTCTAGGTATCTAAAATACCATTTAATCAATTAACCTGTTTAAATGTTATAGATAACTGCTTTGAAGGGGGACTGGCTGCACCCTCCCCCTGCAGCACTGCAGGGGCCAGCCAGGCCACCAGTTAACTGTAACCGGTTAACCATTCATATCCCTAGAGGAGTCAGTATTTTCCACTTCTGTTCCTTCTAAATTATGACAGCCAGAATAAAGTAGTAATCAGAATGTATTACCTGCCACAAATAACTTATCACATGAAGTGGTAGACCACTGGGACAGCTTCAGTGGAAAGAAGAAAACTCTACATTAAGCACCTAATTAATGTTGGTATTTGCTCCTGTGGAAGAGCTATTTTTCTGTATTCTAGAAATGTCATCCACCTCAGCAATGCTTTGTAGGATTTGTAGCATAAAATACACTAGTTAACAGTTCATCCTAGGACTGGATCAGTCAGGCTGTGTCTAGATTGCATCCGTAATAAGGGACTTTGGAATAAGGGATCTTTCAGAAAAGGCTTTATTTTCTGAAAGATCCACGTCTAGACTGGTGCTTTTTTCTGGCAAAGCTTCGAGCTGGAAAAAAGCAGCAGCCATTTTTATGCAAATGAAGTGGGGGGATTTAAATCCCTGCTTCATTTGCAATTGCGATATGTCTAATTTGCATCCCTTTTACGGAAAAGGGATGCAGTCTAGACACAGCCTCAGTGTGTTCAGGTCATTCCCATCAGTCTAGTACAGGGCTACTCAACTTTGGAAGCCCCGGAGGCCACAATGATACTCAAGAGTACATGTCAAGGGCCACAACTTAAGTGTGTTTGCAAATAGTTTATTTTTCCACTGACAGGCATGAATACAAAGCATGTCCCACAATGCCCCAGCACTCCCAGCACCTCCTACCTGGGGGCTAGAAACGATAACACCCTGTACTCATCTGCTCCAGCCAGCCCGTCTGCTTGGGTCTTTCAGTGTTCACCCTGCCTAGGAGATGCCTCACCATTGTGGAGCATGGTCCCAGTGGAGGCCATGTGTTGAGCCCTATATAAACCCAAACCACACCATGGACCGCATGTTGAGTAGCCCTGGTCTAGTATCCGTGCCTTAGTGTTCAGATATTAAGTGATGGGTGGTAACAAGCGTAAAATAAAACAGGTGATTATTCGGTGTGTGATTATTTCTCCCTTACATTTAGAGAGGTTGAGCATGATCAGATTTGTACTTTTTGGGACAGGAGCTATACCTTCATATTTAGGAAGAGTCTAACCCATTTCTGATGCTACTGTAATCTTAAAAATACCAGACTATGTAGCACTTTAAAGACTAACAAGATGTTTTATTAGGTGATGAGCTTTCGTGGGCCAGACTCACTTCCTCATATCAAATAGTGGAAGAAAATTGGCGTGACCATATATACCAAAGGATACAATCAAAAAAATGAACACATATGAAAAGGACAAATCAAATTTCAGAACAGAAGGGGGTAAGGGGAGGAGGTAAATGTCTGTGAGCTAATGATACTAGAGGTGATAATTGGGGAAGCTATTTTTGTTATGGGTAAGATAATTAGCATCCTTGTTAAGACCTAGGTGTAACGTGTCAAATTTAATCATGAAGGATTCTCTGAATTTGACACTTAGGTCTTAACAAGGATGCTAATTATCTTACCGGTTACAAAGATGGCTTCCCCAATTATCACCTCTAATATCATTAGCTCACAGACACTTACCTCCCCCCCCCATCCCCCTTCTGTTCTGAAATTTGATTTGTCCTTTTCATATGTGTTCATTTTTTTGATTGTATCCTTTGGTATATATGGTCATGCCAATTTTCTTACACTATTTGATCTGAGGAAGTGGATCTGGCCCATGAAAGCTCATCACCTAATAAACCATCTTGTTAGTCTTTAAAGTGCTATATAGTACTGTTTTTGTTTCAGCTAGACCAGACTAACACAGCTACATTTCTATTACTATTCTTAAAAATACCCTTTCCTATCTCTTTGTTTTGTTTGCTCTGTTCTATCTTCATGCGCCTATCTTTTGCTAGAGCCCATTCCCATTTTCCTCCTTTCAATACTAATATTTTATGCACCAGTGTGTTTCTAGTTGGCTGTTGCCTATGGTTAACACTTCTCATTGTCAAATATCTGTCTGGTGCTATCAGTGGTACCCACTCACAGCGACTGCAATAAGGCCTACTGAGGGAGGCTTCTTCCACCTAATTTCATTAAAATGCCCTAAATCCAGCTGACAATTTTTCCCTTCAGTTGAATGGCCAATTATGGGAAATGGGATAATATACTCTGAAAGAGATTTAAATTAATTTCTGAAGTTTCAGAGGAGTAGCGGCGTTAGTCTGTAACAGGAAAAACTTCAAAAACAACAAATAGTTTAGCAGCACTTTATAGACTAACAAAACGTATTGTAGATGGTATCATGCGCTTTGTGGGCACAGCCCACTTCTTCAGATTATCAGAGTTAATTTCTGAGTTGGTGTAGAATAATACTGTGGCTAGCTAAGAAGTAACAATAGTTACCACCATACAGAACAGGGTCGATTTTGAGGGGGCCTGGCACCTGTACACATATAACAGACCCTACTGCCTCCTTAAAATACCACAAAGGTGCGGGACCATCTCCATCCACTGCTGGTCAACCTGGGCTTGAGACACCGGGGGAAGGACGCACAATTCTAGCCAGTTACAGTGCACGCAGCTGGGACCGCATGGCTCATCGACTGGCTGTAAGCGCCGGTAAATCTCTGACTGGAATAGTTACGAGCCCGGATCTGAGGCTGTAACTGCAGTGCGCGAGCTCTAAAACCACTTCCGCCCCCCCCCCTTCCCGACTCCAGTGCAGGCACGGATGTTGTGATCACATGACTGTCAGGGAGGTGGACAGGCCTCGGTTTATTGGTCGGGGTAAGATCACGTGGAAGGCAGAGGGTGAAGGGGTGCGAGACAGCTGCGATGATTGGCGGTACTGAGATTGGGGTGTAGTCACGTGAAGTGGAGGTTGCTGGCTTGGGACAAATAAACATGGAGGCCATCTTCCACGAGAGGGTGAGAGGGCTGTGGGGGAGGGGGTACTTTTGGTTGAGCGGGGGGCGGGAGCGGTGAGGGCGGAGCTGACAGCCTAGGTTGGACGGGGGGATAGGAGGGTATTTCAGAGAATTGGGTAGCAGCTGATGATTGGGCTGGGCTGGAGGAGAAGAGGAAGGGTGGGGTGGGGTGAGAGGTCCTACAGTCCTTCGTAGGGAGGGGAGTTAGCCATTGGCAGTGGGAGCTTTGCAGCCCATGGCTGGATGCGGAGGCTGATGAATTTCTTCTATCCCGTGGAAGACTTGGAGCAGGGTAGTACTTGAAGCTGTCTTTTCAACGCTTCCCAAAGCGACTACCTGACTCCATTGCCTTATCCACATTGATCTTGATGTTATATTGCCTTCTTCTATAACTTAGTGCTGATGAGGTTCCTCTCGAGTGGAAGGGGAAAGCCAGGTAAAATGACAGTTCAACCAGCTACACCTTAGAAGAAATCTAGGTACCTTTCAAAGGTGGTTACAAGCAGTGTCCATATTACTCCTTTTTATATAGTTTGTTTGCCATGGTGAGGTTTTATTTCTAGAACCTTTTAAAAAGTACAGAAAAAATAGTATTGTGCAGAATGAAGTTTTTACTCTCTTGAGACTGAAGAATGGCTTAAAATGAGAAATGCTTATAAAGATGAGCAGTGGGAGATGTGGGTTTTATTTGTGACTTCTGGCACCATCTTGCTGTGCCTCTGTTCATAGCAACCTCTCTCTGCCTCAGTTTCTGCATGTACAGAGTGGGGATTATGAAACCTGTTTCAAAGTAGGTGTTGTGAAGACTTTTATTTAATATTAGTACTGTGTTTCTGAAAATGTAACATATGAGTGCTAAATATTTTGTTTCCAATGGCAAATACTTCTGCTATTCATGATTGCCTTCAGAGTCCTAAACAGTAACTTCCATACCATTGCATTCCCATGTCTTGCTTATGTCTTGTGTACTTTAATCATTACCAATAACAAGTTTTTCATACTATAATTCTTAATAAACTTCCTTTTGTAAATGTAGGTTGCTCTAGTTACTGAGAGATACAGTAACTAAATCAAACCAAACTAGTTCCTATCTGAGTTAAATGCCCCTTCCAAAGAAGGCAACCTAAAAAACCACAACTTCTTTTGTTTTTAAAATAAGTTCCTATGGAAAGATGGCTTCACAGACTTGGAATGAAAAAAGTAATTCTGCTGAAACTAGATTAATAGGTAGAGTAGTATTAATAAGATCAAAGTTGCACAGGAATTGCTATTGTTTAAGTAGTGTAAGGTGCAATTATTTTACATCAGTGTGCAGTACAAGAAACGTGTATACATTTATGAAAACATTTGCTATTTGACAATGTAGTAATCCAGATTACTGAGGTGGAATTAAAACATCTATATATAAAAACAAAGTTTCCAGCGGGACGACAGAGTGATGTCGTCTGTCACTTTGACTCCCTCAGCCTCTCTCACCCCCGGGCTCTGTGGAGTCATCTGTCACATGGAAAAGTGGAGCTATAGGGAGCTGGGGGTGGGTGCTGGCCAGCCTGTGGCCACTCAAGCTTCTTTGGAGCAGGCAGTGGTGGAGCTGAGCTGGGGAGTAGGCAGCTATGAAGCAGGGTGGGCTGACTCCATGTGTGGCAGCCACTTCACAGCCTCCCTTTGCCCACTTGGTCCTGGGTGCCTTGGGTCACAGCCAGGAGCCACTTGAGAAGAACAGAGGCAGAGATGTCTGTGTCCCTGATGTGTGCCCTTGCCTGTGGGTTGCTGGTGGAGGAAGTGGGGGTGGATTGGCTCTCTGCATCCTCCTGCCAACAGGATACCTAGCTCAGTCCTACAGTGCCAGGTTCCTTTGTCACTGCCAGGATACCTAGCTCAGTCCTACAGTGCATGGGGCGTGCCAGGTTCCTTTGTCACTGACTGCATGGAAATGCTCCCAAGGGGCGCAGAGGTGAGGGGTTCCCCCACCCACTGAACACCTCCCCCCACACTGGGGCCTTCACCCACACCCCACCCCCGCCAGCTTCATGAGGCATAAGTTGGGGGCTTAGCTCTCTCTCCCCACCATGCTGCCCCCATTGGGCCTTTGTCCCCTCCCCCGCCCCAGACTCCATGCCACATGGGCTGGTGGTTTACCCCCTCCCTCACATGCTGCCCCCCCACCCAAAGGACTCCATATGGCTCAAGTTGGAAGGCTAATTCCCTTGCCCCCTGAGGGGTCACACAGGGACAGCCCAGCAGTGCTGGGAGCAACTGCCAAGCCAATGGTGCTGTTTTCTTGCTGGTTAGGTTTCCCATTTGTGGGAGAGGCAGAGCGTGTGGAGGGAGGGAGGAAGGGGGATAGGGTGATGTGGTAAAGGAGGATGGGGGTGAAGGGGGATATAGGAATGGAGGCAGGGGGATGGGCAGTGTAGGGGTATGGAAGGGGAGGGGTTAGAGAAGGATGGGAGGGTAGGGATAGGCAGGGGGGGAGAGGGAGCCAAGGGGGTGAGGATAGGGATGGATGAAGGTGATGGGGAGGTTGAGAGGTTTGGGAGGATGGTGGGTATATGAATGGAGGCAGGGGTATGGGGGTAATAATGGAAGGGGGGGTGGACTGTGGGCCATGGAGCTCCAGGCCCCAGTTCTCTCCCCTCCCCTTCCCATCCCATAACAGCACATGCGCTTCCCCAGAAGCCAAATCCAGTGTGGAACCTGTGGCCGGGGGTGGAGATCCAAAAGGCTAGGGCTGACATGGCCCCATCCCTCACTGGCAGGAGAGCCAGGGCTGCTTACCCCCAGAGACAGGGGGGTTGGTGAGCATAGCAAGCAGGGGGCACTGTCCCATAGTCTAGTTAAATATCTGAAGCAATAAGCAACATATTCTATTCTGTTGTGACATCTGTTTTCATAGATTTTAAAGACAGAAGGGACCATTGTGATCATCTAGTGAGCCTGACCTCCCATGTAGGTGGAACTTCCTCCAAAATAATTCCTGGAATTTATCTATTAGAAAAACATCCAATCTTGATTTAAAAATTGACAGTAATGGAGAATCTACCACCACCCATGGTGAATTGTTCCAGTGGGTAATTACTTTCTGCATTAAAATGTATGCTTTATTTTCAGTCTGCACTTGTCAAGCTTCCACTTCCAGTCATTGGGTCATGTCTACCTTTGTCTACTAGACAGATGAGCCCATTATTAGTTGTTTGTTCCTTATGTAGGACATCCTAGACTGTGAGCATGGCCCCCATGGCCCCCCTTAACCATTTCTTTGTTAAGATAAAAAGATCACACTCCTTGAGTGTGTTGCTGTAAGGCAGGGCTTTGGAGGACCCCGGGGCTGCAATGATTCTCAAAGCATATGCCAAGGGCTGCAACTTCAGTGTGGTTGCATGGACATGCAGATAGCTTCTTTCACGTTGAGGGGCATGAATACAAAAATTAAGGCAAGACTACTCAACACACAGACCCCATTTAAGTCAGTTCTGCTGATATTAATAAAATGCAATATTTGCAATATTTAATATGACAGCACTTTTAACGAGTAATGACAATCCAGGAATTTGATTACTAAAACACATATCAGCAGAAGACCATTATATTGACTACTTTTTTGTTTTGGCTCCCACCTGCAGGCCGCCTGTTGAGCCCTGCATAAATCCAAACCTCATCACGGACCACAAACAAACGGGCTGTGGGCCAAGTAGCCCTGCTGTAAGGCATGTTTTCTAATCCTTTGCTTATTCTCGTGGCTCTTTGGATAACCCACTTCTTGAATTGTGAACATCAGAACTGGAAACAATATCATAGCTGCAGTTGTGCCAGTACCAAAACCAGAGGCAAGAAAAACTTCTCTACTCTTACTTGAGAGTCCTTTGTTTATGGCCCCCAGGATTGTGTTAGCTCTTTTGGCCACAGCATTACATTGGAAGCTCATGTCTCGCTGACTGTCTACCACGGCATCCAAACCTTTTTTCAGAGTCACTGCTGTGCAGGATAGTGTACACCATCCTGAAAGTATGGCATACATTCTTTGTTCCCAGATGTATGTATTTACATATGGCAATATGGAAATGCATATTGATTGCTTGTGGCCAGTTTACCAAGGGAACTCAATTGCTCTGAGTCAGTGATCTGTCCCGTTCATTATTTACCATTAGGAGATTTACCTGGTATCGTTGGATCCTTAACTCAATTAATTTTTGCATTTCTTCTTTTAAATCAGGGGTTCCCAAACTTTTTGACACGGGGACCAGTAAATCTATTCATGAGCTTTTGGAGGACTGGTAACGTTCATTTGCATATTCAATAAGCAAAAGATGAATATTCAGATAAGTTGTTTCTGGTCCTCCCAAAGCCCCCAGTGCCAGCGTTAGCAAAGCTTTTGATACAGTCACTCACAATATTCTTGCCAGCAAGTTAAGGAAATATGGATTGGATAAATGGACTGTAAGATGGATAGAAAGCTGGCTAGACCAGGGTTTCCCAAACTTTTTACTTTAGTTGGAATCTGTTTTTTTTCAGTATTGTCTTTTGAAGTCCAAAAATATAAACGCATATAAAAAAAAAGAATGAAAAATGAATAAATTTTCAGTGTTTCACCCGGCTACATCCTCCACCCAGCCTGGGCCAGGGCTTGGGGGACCCAGCGCCACATGAGCACTTCAGGAGGCGGGAGCACGGGCAGATTGGGGGTAGGGTATCTGGCTAGGAAGGAGGGTGGAAGGAAGGGTAGGGTTGCCAGGTGTCTGGTTTTGTACTGGACAGTCCAGTATTTGAAGGTTTTGTCTGGGAAAGAAATTTCCAGACATATAAAATGCCTGGTATTTTCTAATTAGGTACATTTTATTATAATTAGGTGTATTATTCCTTAGCTGCCTGGCTGGTAGATGTGCTTACGCAGTCTGAGTGTGTCTACCTGCCAGGCAGTTCGCAACTACTCCAGGGAGGGTATGTGGGGGAGAGGGGGCAAAATGGAATCTCCGGCCAGACTCACTCATCTGCCAGGGTCTGCAGGGTCTGCATGTGCGCAGGTCAGTCCCGCTTCCCCCCTTTCTCTTCCCGATCTCCCCAGTCCAGCCCTCCTGCCCCTGTCCAGCCCTGCTTCCAGCAGCCGGTTCACCCACCACCTACCAATCTCCCCCGGTCAGCCCTGCTCCCCTGATGACCCCCCTTCTCCCCCACACCAGCCCCACTACCCCCGTCCAGCCCTGCTTCTGGCAGTTGATTCTCCCGTCCTCCTCCTCCTGATCTCCCCCGGCCAGCTCCCCCTATCCCCCGTGCAGCCCTGGTTCCGCCACCTGCCCTCTCTGATCTCCGCCACCGGATAGCCCCGCTGCCCCCAACCCTGCTTCCGCCGCCCACCCACATGCCCGGATCTCCACGGGACAGCCCCACTCCCTCAGTCCTGCTTTCGCTGCCCGCATTTCCGCGGGACAGACCTGCCGCTTCCAGCCCTGCTTTGGCCGCCCACCCCCCTGCCTGTTCAGATCTCCACCAGGACAGCCCCGCTGCCCCCAGCCCTGCTTTTGCCACCTGCCTGCCCGCCTGGATCTCTGTGGGACAGCCCCGCCGCTCCCAGCCCTGCTTTGGCCGCCCACCCACCTGCCTGTTCAGATCTCCACCAGGACAGCCCCGCTGCCCCCAGCACTGCTTCCCAGCCGCTGGCTCCTCCCTCCTTCCTCCCAGCCCACCACGCTCTGCTCCTCTCCCGGCAGCCATGCTGAGGCCCGGTATTTTTTTCCCGCAGCTCGGTACTGGGCCGCGACCCATAGTTTGGGAAACGCTGTTTTAAATTATTACCTGGGGGTACAGTATGCAGGCTTCCCTGGGGAAAGAACTGCTCTCGTGCAGCAGCTTAGGGCCAGGTGAGAAGTCCTTCTCTATGGTTGTTACCCTCCACCTACTGGAGCTGCATCAGCTCCAGGGGGGTGGATGTCCCCTGGCTGCAGCTGGTCCAGGCACATCTGCACTCCATAGCCAGATTGAGGAATGGAGCAAACTGCACTTTCCACTTGTTACCTGGGAAAAACCAGAAATGTTCCTATATGAATGGGGAGGAAGGCTTTTGGCTCTCCCTAAAGGGTACATGGGAGGGTGGGACACTTGGGGCTGGGGTAGTCTTGGACGGGAGAGGGGGAGCATGTCTTCAGCCTGTCCCTTTCACCTGCCTGGTGATTGTCTCTTTTTTTTTTTTATGCATCTCTGTACACATTGGGGAGAGCTTCAGTCTGTCCTTCCCTGCACAAACAAACCCTTACATTGCTTTAAGTTATGATAAGAGGAAGCGCTATATCAAATTTGGTGGTCCTAGCTTTTACTTTTTAGGAGGAGTTCTTGCCTTCCCTATGTTTTGAGTGTGTGTGTATATAGAAAGCAACAAGGAGTCCTGTGGCACCTTATAGACTAACAGGTTTATTGGAGCATATGCTTTCGTGGGCAAAGACTCGCTTCATCAGATGTGTACATTGAAGTTCAAACATTCATGTGTCTTTACTTTATAAAACACATAAGCTACGTCAACACTGGCATGACTTTCCGAAATGCTTTTAACGGAAAACTTTTCCGTTACAAGCATTTTCGGAAAAGCACGTCTAGATTGTCAGGATGCTTTTCCGCAAAAGCACTTTTTGCAGAAAAGCGTCCGTGGCCAATCTAGACACGCTTTTCCGCAAAAAAGCTCCATGGCCATTTTCGCGATCGGGGCTTTTTTGCGGATAACAGTACTGTGCTGTCTACACTGGCCCTTTTGCACAAAAGTCTTTTGGAAAAAGACTTTTGCCCGAACGGGAGCAGCATAGTATTTCCGGAAAAGCACTGACGATCTTACATGAGATCATCAGTGCTTTTCCGGAAATTCAAGCGGCCAGTGTAGACAGCTGGCAAGTATTTCCTCAAAGGAGATGATTTTGCAGAAAAGCTTGCCAGTCTAGACACAGCCATACTATACGCATGTGTACATTTAGAAGTGAATACATGCCCCCACATTTAATAGATGCAATAGTTTGAGGCAAACTTGCAAAGTCTTCATGGCCTAGGTAAGTATTGCCATGGTGGGGGGAAGTTACACAGGGGCATGTGGCACTGGTGTGGAAGGAAAAGAAGAGGGAACATTATATGGGACAAGTGCAGCTGGTATGGCGAATGGGAGAGAATAGAGTCTGTAGCCGGTATGGTTTGCAGGAATAGTGGGGAGTCCTCCTGTGACTTAATCATTCTGCAGAGACTTCTGTCACTGGCCAATTCTTAAAATATTTTCTAAATTAAAAAAAAAAATATCGGCGTTCTGTGAAGCCATAAAAACTAATGCATTTATTTGAGTATAAATTTTTGTGGGCAAAAACAATTTCATCAGATGCAGTTAGTCAGTTTTTACTCACGAAGGGATATGCCCAAATAAATGTTAATCATTAAGGTGCCACAGGGCTCCTCATTGTTTTTGCAGATACAGATTAACACAGCTATCCCTCTGACACTTATACATTAAAAAATGTTTGAATGTCTTATGAAATAAAATGGGGTTTGTGTTAAGAATGTTAAAATGCAGGTAATTGTGTAAACATGTAACCAGTGAAAAACTCAATGCTTACATGCATCCACAGCCACCTGCTTCCCAGGAGCCAGTGCATACTGCTTCTGGGGAACCAGCTGCTACCCAATGGCATACAGGTTCCCCAAGAGCCAGTATGTGCTCAGATCTGGCTTTTAAGCTGGCTCCCCATGCATACTGGCTCCCACCTGCAGCCCCGTTTCCAGGGAGCTGGCTGTTGCCTCTGATACTGTGGCAGCAGTGTGGGGAGGCAGTGGGCTCCCCAGGAGGGGGTGAGAGGCTGTGTGTAATCGTGAATGTTAAGCCTAGGTTTATCAGTTAACCATTTACACCGTTATATGCTCACATCCCTAGTTTGAATGTGTGCATCAGACATGTTCTTCATGCTATTCTCTAAAGCCAGGTAAGTAATGCATTGAAGAAAAGCTTGGGGTAAATATGCTCCCATGGCAAATATAGATGATTGAAGCAATGAAGGTATAACAAAACATTAAAACAATTCTTGTATCTATTTTTGTTCCTTTACAATTTTAGCAAGAAGGTTCATTGTGTGCTCAGCACTGTCTGAATAATTTACTACAAGGGGAGTATTTCAGCCCAGTGGAGTTATCGTCTATTGCACAACAGCTAGATGAGGAAGAGAGAATGAGAATGGCAGAAGGAGGCGTTTCTAGTGAAGAGTATAGGACGTTTTTACAGGTAACTATCATGTTAACTTTATTCGATTATTTGATATTTGTTTGGCTTCTCGAAACAATTTTTTCTTTTACAAATTTGTTATTGTTTTATTGTGGAAACTTCATTTTCAGGTGATAACGCTTTCCAATTTTATAGGTTTTTTTATCCTACTTCAAATTGACATTTATAAATATTATTTCACTACTAAAGCATCACTATACTTCTGAGAGAAATATATTATACCCATATTACTGGCATGGAGAGAAGGATATGGGATTTGTGTAAGGCATACAATAAGCCAGTAGCACAAATGGGAACAGAATACAGAAATTCTCATGTCCAGTCTCTGTTCTGAGAGCTTGGCATTGGTAATTTAAAGACTTGGTTTTTTTTCATTAATAAATGTATTTTGAGCAGGATGATCAGTCTTTCTTTGGAGTGGGGGTACTGAGTATTGGCAGTAGATGTACACAGTAGTATTTATTTTTACAGCTGGTTTCATATAATCCTTTTTAGATGCTTGAGCTGATCATAATTTTTCTTTTCCTCCTCCATCCCACATTGAACAGCAGCCTTCTGGAAACATGGATGACAGTGGCTACTTCTCTATTCAAGTAAGCACAACTCTGTGGTCAGAACAATTTCTTACAACCCATGCAGTTACACAATATGTATCTTTAAATTTAAAAAATTCTGATAATATTTTGTAATTATTTTCCAATTTCTAGCATGTAAGATTAATGCAGGAGAATTCAGGGTTTCTAGAACATCAGTTTAAATTATGGACTTCAGAGGCTTTCCTAATGATTACAGGGTCCATTAGAGGATCTTTCTCTTACAAAATGATCTGCAAAATAAAAAAGCTGCAGAATTTGAGTTTCAAAGGCTTTATTATCCATTTCTGAAATATTAGCACTATTTGGGAAAAAAAAGTTTATTTTTAAAAAGGGAACTTAGGAAATATTGTAATTAATCTTTTAAATATCTATAATAGAACCAAAAATCCCTGTAAAATCCCAGACTTGTACCTTTACTTAAATTGGATCCCTAGATAATGGTCTATACCTTTTTGTTTCTCACTATTTCTTTCCATACTGTCATGTGAGTTTCTGATATTCTGTTTTGTAGATGCACTAGGATCTCTTTTCATTTGTTCATTTTACTTCTGAGTCTCATTCCTGAAATATGTTTTCTGCCATTGCCAGCATGGCAGTTGCTTTCTTCCTAACTTTACTGCATTGACTTTGAAGTTGATAAAAATTGCTTCCTGTTTTGTTTTACTTTATTTCTGTACCATCTCTTTGCTCACTTGCTACACTGTTGACTGACTGCGGTGAAGATAAATTGTTAATCTGTCCCCTCTCCCCCAGGCCTTTATCCCAAACCGCTTTAAATGAGTAGTGTTAAGAGGTTGGATTCCATCCATAAATTTCCAACTTACTGAATAATATTGAAAGTTAGTTAGACACTTAGCAAATATCAGGGAGATCCCTAGTTGGAAGTCTAGCATTTTTTGGTAAGTCTTAATGCTCTGTAAAGATCTATACAACTTATAATGGACTCGGGATCTTGTTGTAACATGATTCTAGTTTGTAGTGCAACAAAGTTAAGGACATATTTGAGTTAAAAGCCTTAGTGGTCATGTTTTTAACAAGGATGAGAGTAATCCCTAAATATGTAAACAGTAGCCCTTCTGCTGTTTCTTGTGTTATCTTAATGGCTGCAAAATGCCAAACAATTTTAATAATGGCAGTTTTGAGGGTGAAAATACGAAGGTAATAGGTGTACAGCTGGACACAAGGCTATAACATAATCAAGGAGGTGTGCTTTTGTGAGAACCTCTCTGTCAAAGTGTAGTTTTGTAATTCATCTTTGTTGTATATGCTATCTATGTTGTATGGTGATTGTAGATTCATGAAGGTTGCATTTTGAGTATCATGATCCCGAGGTTTCCTTTTTATATCAACTTTTTAAAAGCACAGCTTTATGAAAACAATATAATTGTTCATAGTGGTTAAAATGGTTGCATTGCTTAAATTTGGAGTTGACTGATTTGTCTCATGAAAAGTACTATTTTTTAACAGGTTATAAGCAATGCCTTGAAAGTTTGGGGTTTAGAACTAATCCTCTTCAACAGCCCAGAATATCAGAGGCTCGGGATCGACCCTATGTAAGACTTTCTTTTTAGCACCCTACTTTCATTTTACAGAAATTTTAACGCTGAAAATCTGTAATTACTCAGTTTCTTTTAAAATTTCTATTTCAAGCTCTGTTACATTTTGATGTATCTCTTTTTATCCCCTCAGCCTTTTATTTTTCATATTTTGGGGATTAATGTGACCTGTCCTCTGAGCCTTCATGACATCTCAGTATCTGTGGCATCACAGCATGCTGACTGAGTTGCATGTGATGTCATATATGCTTTATGACATTACTAGGTTTATGTAGACTTTAGTACATAATTAAAAAGAACACTTTAAAATATTATGAATTATAATAAGAGTAATTTAAACAATCTATAGTATCAGAAGTTACATTGTATTGCCAAAATATTGTCATTTATGTATAAATTAGTGAAACAAAGAATTTAAAAGTTACTCGGAGCTCCAGTATTAGAAAATGTAATGTTATGTGTGCCTTGTGTTTTTCTTTTTACAGAAATGAAAGATCATTTATTTGTAATTATAAGGAACACTGGTTTACAGTTCGAAAGTTAGGAAAACAGGTGAGAAAGTTCAAAAGTTAGGAAAACAGATTGTTGAGACCATGTGCTAGCCTTTCATCTTTGAAGGTCTGGATTAAAATTTGTTTTAGACTATCCCCAAATAAATAGATTGGGTAAATGCTTATTTATATCATAATGCTGACAGTCAGGTTGGCATGAATGTTGGTCTAAAAAGGACTCTGGATCAGATCTCCTAAGAAGCTGCATGCAGTTACAGTTTTATGTGACATTGCTATGTATTTTTCAGAAAAGAGCGAAAACTTAATGTTGTATATTGAAGAGCTAGAAAATCATCGTCTTTATAAATTACAGAGGGGTACTGAGGGTCAGATTTTTGTTTGTTTTTGCTGCATTGTACAATACATACTATTACATTGGTACTGTTTGTACTGTAAAAATAAATTGCAGGTAGTCTTTGCATCTAAAAATGGCTAGCTGGTAAATGGAAATTGTGATTAACACAGATATTTATATCTGCCAACATTGGAGAGATTGGAGAGATTATATTAGGGATCATAGTGGGGAAAAGTAGAAATACAGCTTTTAACTTTGTAGGATTTAGGAGAGCTTATAGGAGGAATAGAATCAGAAATAGCAAAATGTACTGCTAAAAATAAAGGACGATCTATACTTATGAAGTGTTCATAACCAGATAGCAACGTAGATCAGAAAAAGTTTGTCTTTTTAACACCAACAGATATATTTCAATAACTAATCAAAGTTGTCTCTTTCTAGATGACATTCTGTAATTCTTCCTATAACTAAACTACATTTTTAAAATGTATAAAATGGGGATGTAAAATTTTGATTGATTGGTTAATTGAATAGTCAATGGAATTTGCATCGACTATTCAATTAGTCGATAAGGGCACTTCAAAGGCGAAAGCGCTGTGGGGAGCATGGGACCAGCGGGGTACTCAAGCAGTCCCCCACTGGCCCCATGCTCCCGTGGCATTTCAAAGCGCCAGCGTCACAGGGAGCCCAGGGTCAGCGGGGGAGTTCCCAGCTGACTCCGGGCTCCGCACAGTGATGCAGCTTTGCAATGCCATGTGTAGCCTGGGCAAGCCGCATGCAACATTTCAAAGCGGCAGCACCTAGTGGAGCCCAGGGTCAGCAGGGGAGTCCCCTGCTGACCCTGGGCTCTATGCAGTGCTGCTGCTTTGAAGCACCCCCTCTTCTTCCACCTCCCACTTTGCTGCCTCTTTCTGAGAGGCAGCAGGAGGATTGGGGAAGCGACTAGTCGACTAGCCTATCGACTATCCGATAAGCACTTGCTTATCGGATAGTTGACTAGTCTAGTCCTAATATAACACACTCCTAAAGTAAGCTTTGGAAAACATCTAAAATAGTGGAAAGGAGCTCACAGAGGTTTCTGGAAACAGCAGCGATGCTGACATCCAGATGAGGGTAATAAAAATTTTCTTTATATATTAAGCTAACAAGTCCCTTGCATTGAATGCATGCAACATTCCTGAAAAAACCTCTTTGTTAGAAAATTAAAGCTGAAAATGGTATGGCTACAAGTAATACCTTACACTAGTAATAACATTTCAGGCAAATACAAATTTCAGGAATCTATTATATTGCGGTTTACTTTAAGTGGAAATGACATCTGTCAGCAAGAGAGGTGAAAATAGGGAATGCATTACAGGCTTCCCTTTCAAGATTAGTTTAAATGTAATTATGTTAATTTTGTAAGCATTTTTTAATGTTGGGGCATAATGTTCACTTTAAAACTGTTATCTCATAGGGAGTGTATTCTAGGCTAGATATGTATATCAGATTTATTTATGTATGTATTGTAAATTACCATGTCATACTTTTTTTTTTTTTAACTTTAAAAAGGGGGGATTTTTGGAGTTGACGAGGTAGAATGTTGATAGTATGGTATGGAACCGTTTGACTCCATTCCTGGTGAACAGTAATTAAGACCGCAGTCCTGCAAACACATGTGTGCTCTACTTCAAGGACATGAACAGTCCATTGATTTCATTTAAACATGTTTAAATTTTTGCAGGATTGAGCCCAAATGTTATTGGTGGTTCAGTAGCCTCTGAAATAAATTAATAGTCTCATTCTAAATCTGAGTGGGCATTAGTAGGGCCCTACCAAATGTGTGGTCCAGCTTTGAAGACAGCACAGAAGTAAGGGGGACAGTAGTGCTACCCCCACCGAAAAATAATTTGGTGTTTCTCCCATATGCACACACACCAACATTTTGGGTCAGGAGTCCAAATTTGAGACGTTCTGGTCTTCCCTGTGAAATCTTTATAGAATAAGGTAATAAAAGCAAGCAAAAGATCAAATTTCACAAGGAGAAACCAGACTTCATGATCTGTGATGCTTTTTTTCATGGTTGTGAATTTGGTAGGTTCCTAGACGTTATCTTCTCTCATAAATAATACATGTATATATTAATTAGCAGTCTTGCTAGCTGTTTCAGTAGTTTGTCCAAAAACTGAATGGAAATAGAATTCTCTTGCCATCTGAAGTGGCTCTGGAAGGTCATGATTTTAGCATGATAGAAAAAGGTCTTCTTGAGACATTTGCATTTATTGCAAGACTGTATCAAGAACTGTCTGATAGTTTTAATGGATAGTCTATAATATCTACCTCTCCCCTAATTGGATGCGCTTTCAGTTAATACAAGAATTACAATTAATGACTAATTGGTTTTTGGCATATATGTATTTGTTCAATGACTTATACAGACACATCTTTACATCCTATCTCCCCTTCTCTAATATAGGTTGTGTTTGTGACATAGATAATAAGCATTTTCCAAATGAATTTGAATTTACTTTCATAGATAATAAGCATTTTCCAAATGAAAAAGTAAATTCAAATTCTTGTTTGATATAATAATTATCTTTAAAATACATGTAGTGAAAACAGTTGCCTAAGATTAAAGCTGTCTTTTTTGTAATATCTGTAAGGCAGCACTGTTATATACATTCCTAATAGAAAATACTCAACTGTTTCCTCCATCGTCCCTTTAAATAGGGATTCTGTCCGTCCTCCACTAACAATAGGAGTCTATGGTGGAGTGACAGAAGGGGGAAAAACCCTCAGTGAATCAAATGATAAATAATTCAAACCAGAATAAACAGTAACAGCAGAAACCAGGACAATTCTTAGAATTGTTCAGAGCTCTCCCCTTGAAGCTCTCCTGAATTAGTAGGGAGGGAGCCTGAAGTTTGTGTCATTTGAAGGGTGGCAAGAAGCAATATTTAAAGTAGTCATGCTTTTGTGCTTGAAAGGAAGTTTTGATATATCACATGATTAGTTTACAAATAATGGAAAATTGCCAGATTGTCAAAAAATGGATTAACATATAAGTCCCCTGCTGATTTTTTTTTTTCTTTTCAAATTACAGTGGTTTAACTTGAACTCTCTCCTGATGGGTCCAGAACTAATTTCAGATACATACCTTGCACTTTTCTTGGCTCAGTTACAACAGGAAGGTAATACTAGTTTGAAAATGTTAAATCTAATTGCTTGAAAGAAGGCAATTCAGATCAGATAAATAAGCTTTATTTATAAGAGTGTTTGTAGTAAGTCTGTCTACATCAGTTTTGTGAATGAATCAGTGAAATAACCTGTACCGTCCTTGTAATGAGAGGCAAAGCCTAATATGGAATATCTGTTTTATATTGCTGGTAATAAATTTCATCTTTTTTTTTTAAATTATTATTATTTCATGGTATACGTCGTCAGAGGTATTCAGTGATCCACACACCTTATGCTTTGTATTTCTGATTTTTTTTAAATTCACAGGTTATTCTATATTTGTTGTAAAGGGTGACCTGCCAGATTGTGAGGCTGACCAACTACTGCAAATGATTCAGGTACAGCAGATGCAGCGACCAAAATTGATTGGGGAAGAGACTGCACAATCAATGGATCAAAGGTAAGGTAAATAAAGATTTATTTTTAAGTGTTGAGTATAATTGCCTTTAGAGACTGACATCTACAACCAAGGTGCTAAGTAAATTTACCAATTAGCATTAAGTAGGAAGATACAGCCAAAAGAGAACCTACTGCAGAAGGTTATACAATGAAAGTTACAGCTATTCGGGCATATCTGCAGAATGAACAATGAGCAAAAAGTTAAGACCCTGGTATTCAGCATAATGGTGGTCCAAATAGAAGAGGCAGACCCCACAGAGAATGGGTAGATGATATAGTAAGTAGATTGGTGCGGAGCTAGTCTACAGAAACTAAGCCACTCCGCACTGGACAGGGAAAGATGGAAGGAAATAGTGAGGGAGGCATCGGACACCAATGGGCGTTGATGATGACGATGAAGTATCACTAATGCATTATATTTGCTATTATAATTTCACTGAGTTTTAAAGCTGCTCTCCTGATTTATCTTACAACTACAGACTGAATCCTTAAATATTTCTAAATAGTAAAACATTTTAAAATAATCTAGTCAACCTGGTATAGTTTTCTTGCCATTTTATCATGATTCAATTTTACTGCTTATAAAGAGCTTTAAGAGAGTTTTCAGTTTTCAAAGGAATTACTTCATAAATGTCCCTTTCTTTTGATGTACAGGTTAACTTCCATGGCTCTGCAATAGGTAAAAACAGAGATCTTGTGTGGCAATATAGCCTTGTTTATAGAGCATGGGCCTGGGAACCACAAATTTCTGAGTTCTGCCCTTCACAATGACCTCACTAGCACTGTGGTCATGGGCAAACCACCTTAATTTCTTTTGTACTGTTTTTTTATTTGTAAAATGGGGGAAATATATAACTAGCTTAGAAGCTGTGTTGTGAAAATTAAAATGATTTTACAGTATCTTGAAAATGTGGAGCTAAATCGATACAAAGCACTATTCTTACAGTGAGATTTAAATGTAAATGTTATTTCTGGCTGGCCATCATGAGGAATTATCAATTTTGCAGGGTGCAGAAAACTGAACTGGAACAAGCTTTAGACGTTAACCATTCCTTTGGTGGAACAGGCATGTTGGATGAGGATGAGGAGAATTTCCAAAGAGCTCTTGCTCTAAGTCGACAAGAAATTGATATGGAAGATGAAGAAGCTGATCTTCGTAGAGCCATTCAACTTAGTATGCAAGGTAAAAGATTTACTTTAAAAGAGTCTACAATGTATATCCAGCAATCACTTTTGACTAGTTGAGTACTTGTGAAGGGTGAAATCTAACAGATGAAATCTCAATAGGATCAAGTGCCATACCTGTTTTCCCTGCTAATGTGTGTCAGACTTTCTGGAAAGCATGCTTCTAGACATGAAACAATACGTAAGAGTGAACTTTAGTCCTTTTCTTGGGACTCTTCAAAATGTTATGATGCGGATAGTTGATGATCAGGAAGCATATTGAGAGTTAATCTTATTTACATAGCCAGCTGAATGGCCATTAGATAATGATTTTTTGATTGGCTGTCTGGGGTAGATTTGAAACATTGATCTTCAGGTAAAGTTCTCTGTTCCCCAGTCCGCAGAACCAGATCTTTTGTTTAAAGACTTTCCTTGATAATGAACCAAACTCTATCCTCTGTTGTTGTGGTTATATGTTAAAAAAATTTTCCTCATTGAGGTTTGGAGTGGTAATTTCAGCTATCTTATGTTTGTTAATTCAGAATTTCCCACCCTTGACTAGTGTAATGAAATGCCATATTCTAACTTTAGGAGGCTATCGAAGTGAGTTTTCAGACTCTGTATCACAGAATATATCACAGTCATCTGGTACAAGTCA